CTCTCATATCCAAAAACATTAATGTTTCACAAATTGGTGTCCTAAATTCACTTGTCAATGCAGCATCACGAGTTAAGCCCCACCTCCCCCTCTCCCCCTCCCCTCCTCCTACAACACCAAGTCCCAATTGTTCCGAGTGGAGGGAATAAAAAGCACAATTTGATTTATTAATAACTTCAAAGTGAAGCTTTTCCTTGTCCCAGAAGGATCTACCTAGCTGTTGAAGGCCTGGATACTAATCTTGCATGTTTTATGTGGAGGTTCAGTTGTGCTGTTGTGGAAGATAACTGCCGTGCATGACTCGCTTTGTCGTGTTTGTGTGTCTGTTTGCTTTTATATAATAATAATAATGATGGCTGCTCCTCCTCTCTCTCTCTCTCTCTCTGCCTGTCTTGTCCTCGTTTCACCGGCTGCATCGCAAACAACAATTTTTATTATTTTGTTTTTTTTTTTTACGATCCAAACACAGGCCGATTCTCTGCTTGTCGTCCTCGTTTAAGGCATTGACATGAGCATGTTAAACCAGAGGGGCGTGCAAGTGCTGCGAGAATGCTTTGTCTTCTACTGAATGCAAATTCATGTGATACACCGTTATCCCGCTACTGTTACACTGATGAGTGTGTGTGAGGAACACAGTAGATGTGTGTGTGATATGATCCTGTTTTCCATTCTCTAATTGCTTCCTTTTGTTACCTGACTAGCAGGGAAAAGGGGTCGAGGCTGGTCCTGATGCGTCGCTATGAAGACTGACCCCCCCCTCCCCTTCCCTCCCCCCAGCGTATGGCGGTACACGCTGCAGGCTGCCAGTGGATGGAAATGGTAAGGTCAACTTGACTCAGTGGTCTAATGGCAATCCAACCTTTCTGGGTGTTTTTGTTTTTTTTTGTTTTTTAAAGAAGCTGCCACGCTCTGAGATAATCAGAAGAGCAAAAAGCGAGTAGACTTTAAGTTTTATAAGCCCCCCCCCCCCCCCCCCCCAAACCCCAAATATGCCATTTGAGACGAACTGAGCAGGAGTTCATGATGATGGACGTCCTCCTGGAGGAAAAAGTCTTTGCACTTTGTTGTTTTTTAAAAAATTTTTTTTGGAGTGTTTTAGTGGAACTTGATGCTTATTTTATATTTTGTATTTCTTTGAGTTTAAACTACAACTTTCATGACGGACAAGACACGATAATCTCTGACTGTCAGGGAAAGCGTTGGAGGTGTTGAGGGTCGGGCGTTCCAGGAATATGGTGCTTTAAGAACCTAAGCCGCCATGGGGTCCGTTAACTACCTCAGGTTTCGAGGACTCGCCTGTTCTGCCCCCAACTCTCCCCCTGTTTTGCACTTGAGGAAACTTGAGGCAGGGTTTGAACCCCAAACACAAGCAACGGAGCGCCTAATGAGTTCTCAGCTGAGGCTCGACGTAGGCTACCGTTTGCATGTTAGCTGATCCTCTGAAAATGAGCCTGAGCAAGCTTTTGCTGTCTTGAGAAATGAACTGAGTGATGATGTAGTTTACAGACAAACTGTTTTTATTACTGTTGTTTTTCTTTTTAAATAGCTGGAAACCAGTATTCAGCCTTTTGTCTTCCAAGATAGGAAAACTTGTCTAATTTTTGTTTGTTTGTTTGTTTGAACCCATCAATGTTAAGGATGTTTAGCAAAAGTGATGTCCGCACAAAACATCTGTTCGTTCATAACGTGAACAAACTGACATCTAATGAAGCTGCCTTTCTTATGTGTGTATATTTTGTTTTTGTTATTTTAAGCAGGTTTGAAAGAATATGAATTTATTTCCGTGTCCTGAAACATTTAGGAATCTAAATAAACGTGGTGTGGAAAAAAAAAATTGTATTGCAAAAAAAAAGCATGATTTCAACATTTCACCTTGTACGTCACTGTAGACCAGTTTTATCATGCCATATGTGATATATTTGTGACACATTATAGAGTAAACTGGTGTTAATTCATGTCTCTTCACTATCAAGTGTACACATCATACTGGAAGAGTTTAAAAGAGCAAATCCAGCGTAATATATTTGAGCTTTGAGGAGAAATAACAGGATTTAGTGATGTACTTTGCGATTTGTGTAGTAATTTATCTACAGATGCACGAGACTTCCAACAACTTCAATAACTTGTGTTTCTCAGCGAGGGTTTTTATCCAATAGTCAGTATAAAATGTAAAAGGATCCAGTCTGATGTTCTTATTGTCAACAAAATTTTACGAAAAGACCAAAACCACCACTTTGACTTCCTGTCAGTGGCTCTCCGCTCCAATCTTTCAAAACCGCTCGCGGATATAAAGTTAGTTTAGTTCCTAAAAACAGCTAGTGCATCTGTTGGGGACTACTTTCAGCGGCGGATTCAGCGGCGGATGAATCCACACGTGGATACACATTCACTGCTGGGTTTGGGCTTTTTATGGGATTTGTTGACGACAAAAACAGACTAACCAGACGAGTCATTTTCAGAGAGGTGAGATATTTTAGTAGTAGGGGGCGTTTTTCCAAAGTCGTAGTGCGTGGAGTACTTTTTAGAGCAGCAACGTTACAGCGGTCACGCGGCGAAGAGATCGATATCTGCGCCCACATAATGCTGTGCATCCACAAGATGTTTGAATTTTAAGCACGGGGCGTGGCCGTATAGCTGTGTTTATATCGCCTAGTTCTTAAGTGGGGGACAGTGAAAAGGCATTCTGGGTATTGTAGGAAATCACAGAATAAAGCAGTTGTGAGGGGTTTTTTTTTTTCAGTGCACTGTACATCACAGATGTACGTGGTTTTTAACGGTGAGACATTATGAGGTTGGGTTTCTCCTTTTTAATCCAGCCTTAGTGCGTAGCAGTGTTTTTGACCTTTTTTTTCTATTTTATTTGCCATGAAACGCTGTGTCTTGAATCTTTAGCATTCTTCGGCGTTCAGAAAGGAGTGTGCAGCTTGTTTCTCATTTTACCAGGTTTACTTTTGTTTTACATACTAGTATTCGACTCTGTTGGATCACCAGTTTAAGGGTCAAATCATTTCTTTTGTTTGTTTTTTTTTTGCTAACAAGTGTGTTTGCATTCTTGCAAATGAACTGTTTTATACTGTACAGTGAGTTTAAACCTATTTTTCTAATAAAGTTATTGACTTTGTTCTGGGGTTGTGTTTGATTTTTGTCAATGTGTGTTAAGATCGTGGACTTTTATCGGTCTGTGAAGCTTCACATCATAAATTTAAAGATTCCCATTTTTAAATGTGGTACAGAGCAAATTGGTCCTGAAAGTATTTACAACTACACCGATAATACTCTCATGTACTTTGGTGCAGTGGCACATACTGTAAAATACTGTAAATATCCACCATACCTTTTTTTTATTTGTATGTTTTGTTTTATTTAATAGCTTCATATGCAGTTTTAACAAAATTGCCACTTAGGGATCAATAAATTATTGAGGAGACAAAGTTATAATTCATGTGGTGACTTAAACAAAAGTGCTCTGATGCAACAAGGATTTTTTTGTTAAACTTAATCTTGTAAAATTCAATTGCCCGTATTAATCATTAATATAAATTTAATCCACTTTTGCTGGAGTGAGGGATTTATTTTGGCTTCTGAGGGGGGCGTGACAGAACCATTGTCCAATAAGACCAAAATAACAAGCAGCAGTCGGCTAATTTAAGTCAAAAAAGATGCCAATTAAATAAAAAAGGCCTTTTAAAGTAAATATAAATTAATCACTGATTATTTTTACTTTAATTTATGCGTCTGTGGCCTTTTAACTTGATGAGAAAATATTGCACACAGTTTTTTATACATCTACAAACCACATAAGTAACACAAAGGCAAAATGCACTTAAATTTAAACACATGTTTTGAATAGTAACGAGGTCAGCGGATGACCATTTGGAGTCACTTCCGTAAATATGACACAACCATGGATCACCAAACCGGAAGTGGGGTTGTTTGGATTTGGGGTTGCCATGTCGGCTCTGCAAAATACGCATTTGATGCGTGTACTAGTTCTGTGAGAAGGTTTAAGGAAGTTATGGTTTTCGATTGACCGGTCAAAATAATCCATTAACCTCAGACAAACACAAAAGTTGGGGGACATTAATAAAATAGAGAAAACAGGTTACACCAAAAAATAAGGATAGAGTTTTTTTTATAAATGTGATTACACTTTAATAAAGTTTCCTATTATTGGAGATGTTGACTGACTATTTCTGTTGAATAATGGTGAACTGAATATTTTGGACTATTACTTGGATGAAACAGGCAATATCTAAAAATGTCGTAAATTTTGATGGTGAAGGTTTGATTTAATGTATTTTAGTCACGGACGAGTCAGAACTTATTTTTCTATTTATCTATTTTGTTGAGGAAAATGGGGCTGAAATTTATTTTACTCATGCATATTTGTTGAAATAATAATAATAATTGTCTTGAATGTTCTACCTCAGATTTGTGAAGTGATTAACAGTTTGCACAACATATCAGATCCTAAGTACTTATATATACATATTCTGTCAATCTCACATTTATTTAAGATATCTTTATATAAAACAAATTCCTTGTATGTGTAAAAAATATATATATAAACCTTATAAAGGTTTAAACCACAATTAACAATCTGGTTTCTTCAACTTTCACTCAGGAGCAAAACGCTCCCTTTCAAACTTTAAATAAATAATTATTTGACATTTATCCTGATAATAATGATCAATATCAAATACTTTAAGCGTGTAAACATTTTTCACCCTATAGCCCAGCCCTGTATTTAACATTTCCATAAAGAACATAGCTAAGCAATGTTTTTATGAAAGATTTTAAATGCAAAGTACCGCAAATATTGAAGGTTTGATGAAAGTCATTTAATCTCTTTCAGAAGAATGGATAATGAAGCTAAGTTTGATAGGTGTATAATTTTTGTTTACCTTAAAGTCAAAGTTGTATTTTAATATGAACGGAGGTGGTGTTTTTTGTTTTTTGTTTTACTTTAAAAACCGGGATTAAGCGTGTTTTTGACGGACCTGGCAACCCCCCGGTCGGATTAGACAACACTCAGTCTGTCAGGGAAGTCGGTCGGGACTTTAAAACATTGGAAAACATGAAGTAAAAACTTTCTGAAGCTGAAGAAAGTAACATGATTTCTTGGGAGGACTAGTCCGGCTAACAGCCGAAGACTCCTGCAGCCTGTGGATAAAATGCGTTTCATTATATGACCGTTTTGTTGCCGCTGTAAGTTTCTATACAAGCGAACGTTAACCGTTAGCTAAGCTAAGTTAGCTACAACGGCTCGACCGAGAAGTTTAAACTGACATTTTAGATGATAAACCTCACTTTTATCCGGCGTATTTAATCTAAACAGGCAGAAACACCCCTTTCAAAGAGTTAACCGTTAATCCTTTCCGTCGACAGGTCAGCATGGCAGGTATTTTAACGTGTTTGAAGCGGGGACTGAAGGTTGACGTGCTGAGGGAAGCTGGCCGTCAGTATCCAGTCTTCTGCTTCCTGCTGCTGTCTATGCTCTCTCTCACCGTGCTGCTCAACAGGTAAACTGTCGGTATTATAAACTGTGTTTACTGGGCCGGAGAGTGTCAGATTATCTCTAAACACTGCCTGGGTCATGTGGTGTCTGACCTGCACACCTGTGTGTTTCAGCCGAGTGAAGCTGAAGTTAGCCTCCCATTAGGCAGGTGAGGTGGCCCAGCCTTTCACTGTAGGGGGGCTGTGAGACCTCCTAGCAGATTGACAGGCCTTTATTGTCTTTGAAACCCTTATCCCTCTAGTGGAAATGAGGCTAAATATTCTTTAAAACGCAGGTTCAGATGTGTGAAACCCCTATCCCTCCAGTAGAAATGCAAAAAAAGGATAATGTCACTGTGTTTTTCAATCCCAGACCACATTGGACCAAGTCCACATCAAACACCACTGTAGCTAAAGATTTCAAATCTGGTCTAGATTATTCCAGAGAGGCTAAATATTCTTTAAAACGCAGGTTCAGATGTGTGAAACCCCTATCCCTCCAGTAGAAATGCAAAAAAAGGATAATGTCACTGTGTTTTTCAATCCCAGACCACATTGGACCAAGTCCACATCAAACACCACTGTAAATATTCTTTAAAACGCAGGTTCAGATGTGTGAAACCCCTATCCCTCCAGTAGAAATGCAAAAAAAAGGATAATGTCACTGTGTTTTTCAATCCCAGACCACATTGGACCAAGTCCACATCAAACACCACTGTAGCTAAAGATTTCAAATCTGGTCTAGATTATTCCAGAGAGGCTAAATATTCTTTAAAACACAGGTTCAGATGTGTGACACCTTTATTCTCTTAGTGAAAATAAAAAATGCGTCTTTTTCACTGCTTTTTTCACACCTTGACCACATTGAACAGGTCCAGTGGTACCTGTGCTTAATCAGGGCTTGTGTAAGCTACCTAAAGAGGTCATATTATCATTTTTGGCTTTTCCCCTCTCCTTTATTTAAAACTCTGCTCTGATCTGCCTGAAAACAGCTCGTTTGTAGTCCAGCCGCTTCCCTTTCATCCCTGTGACTCTCCTCTCCCTTCCAAACACTAGCTACCCTCCAGGCAGTCAGTGGACATAAAGTTGTTCCTGTGATGTAGAGACAGAGCTCAGTTAAAACTTTATGGATACAGATTAATAACTCACCGCTCTGAAACTCTCGCTCCAGTCCGTGTTGCCGACCAGCTCGGCAACACGTACAGCTGAACCCGAGCTGTTTACCGGCTTCTCGCTGACCCGCCCTTCTCTGCTTCTGATTGGCTAGTAGTCCTTAACTAGGAACTGAGCATGTGCAACTCCCAACAAAGATCATTTAGAGACAAGATGCATCACTCCATAGCTAAAACGAAGCCTTCAACACAGGCTGAAAAGAGGAGCTGCAGCAACGTGCAGTATTAAAACAAACAGTGTTTTTTTGAAAATGAAACCATGTAAATCTGTTCTGGTACAACCTCTGAATAAGATGTTGAACCTGAAAATGAGCAGAATACCACCTCTTTAAAACCTGATTAATTAACAGTGATCATGAGTACTTCGTGAGTGCAGGGTTAATTTTGAAAATCAATAAATCATAAATCAAAGTAAATTGTGATAGGAAGTTTTTACCATGTCAAAGGTTAAATGATTAATCCATTAATCAAGATAATACCCTGCACCATTCCCCGAAATATGCAACTTTGTATTCAGCCTCTTAGAAATATTGTTATATTATTATTTTTACCCTGCTGCACTGAAAACAAATCCCACCCACTCTGGTCATTTTGTCGTTAAAGTGAAGTGTCGTGGTTTAGTTTGGTCGAGTTCATTTGACATTTTAAGAAATAGGAAAATTACTTAATGTAACGTGGAGAAGCAGTTAGCGCCGACAATCTCAGTATTTTATTTGAACAGTGTTTTTTAGTTCATTTACATGAGTTTTTAATGCTGTTTAATAAAACTCCCTCTCCAGGTATATCCACATCCTGATGGTCTTCTGGTCGTTTGTGGCCGGTGTCGTCACTTTCTACTGCTCCCTCGGACCAGAGTCCCTTCTCCCAAATATCCTCTTCAACATAAAGCCAAGGAACACAGTAAGTCAAACATCTGACCAGACTTGGAACCTTCCTGACATTTCAGAGAGATTTGAGAGATAGTTGCAGGGCTGTATTTGGGACTGCACATGACGACATCAAGATTGGGATTAGATTAATGGTGCAGCCCTAGTTTCCATACACAGATATGTTTTCCACAATTGAGTGTGTGATATATCAGGTTTGTTTTCTCCAGCAGCGGCAGGAGCAGGAGTTGTTTCCTCTGGGCCACAGCTGTGCCGTGTGTGGAAAGGTCAAGTGCAAACGTCACCGGTACGTTCACAGGATCTCTGAACAGATAAACACTTATTTGAACATAAACACTTACTGAAAACTCAGCAAGTGTGTAAACAACATAAAAATGCATATAAATCTGCTCTGTTGTTATTCAGTTGCCTCTTCACGCTGGCGGAAGGTAAATAACTAGTTGTAGAGTATTTACTTTTTATGCTACTTTATTAGAGCTACAATGATTAATCACTAACTGCTTTGACAGTCGATTAAAGAGCTCATATTATGATAATTTTCAGGTTCAAAATCCTATTTAGAGGTTGTAGCAGAACTGGTTTACATGGTTTAATTTTCAAAAAACACCATATTTTATAAGAGTAGCCGCTTGGCGAGCGTTACGTGAGGCGCGTTTAGCTGGGAAACGGCTGCACTACAAACGAGCTGTTTTCAGTTCAGAGCAGAGTTTTCTGTGGGAGACGGGAACTCCCTTTGGGCTTTTTCACTTTGCAAACCTGTTACATGCACATAAAAGATATAAAACTCAATAAAGGAGAGGGAGAAAAGCCAAAAAGCAGAATATGACCTCTTTAAAGGTATGAGCAATTTTTTAAGAACAAAAGTTCTTGGATTCCAGCTTGTTAATCTGAATATTTTCTGGTTTCTTTCCTCCTCTGTGACAGTAAACTGAATATATTTTGGGTCGTGGACAAAACAAGAAATTTATTGACGCCGTCTTGAGCTTCGGGAAACTGATTGACATTTTCTAACATTTTACAGACCAAACAACTAATTGGTTAATTGATTAAATACTTAATCGACACATGAAAACAATCGTCAGCTGCAGCCCTGTACTTTATATTTCTTCTTCCTTATTATATTTCAGAGGGGAATGCTGTGTATTTTACTCCCTGACATTAATATTTTATATCTTTTAGTAGATGTTGCTCGAGAGACAGAGAGAGAGGTGCTTTTTTTTGGGATTTTGAACGTTTCAGCTCATGGACGTCCAACATCTCTATAGTAACTTCACAACTATAGTTACTTGGCTGATCAAGATTTTACATACATAAAATATAATCTATAAAATACAATTATTTATTCTGGATTAAACTACCCAAAGTTTGTAGTACAGAGTGAATAAAGCAGGTCAATGAACCTTTTGCTGACCGTAAAGATGGATACGTTTTGTGTTATTACTTAATTATAATGTTAAGTAGGTGAGGCTTGTGTGTGTTATTGCTTTATATGGTTACTGTACTTATTGTTTACTCCTGGTACAGTCAACATATTTTCCTTGGTAACCAAACACCATTAAAGTCTAGTTTAATTTGGATAATGTCATTTTGTGAGGACACATTAAGCTAGTTTTCCTCTTAGTGGATATTATTATGCAGTATTGCACCAGACAGCCAAAATCATTGATGATGGGATTCGGCTCAAGGCAGGTTATACCCACAAAATTAATTACAGCTAAGTAAGTAACCATGAATCTCAATGTCTGACCAGGGGCCTTCTTACATGTGTTTACAAAAAAATATTCATTTAAAGAAATCAAATGTGCAGCAAGGTAGGACAGATGTGTCCGGTCAGGCATGAACATGCTCACTAGTTCGATTAAAATGCTGGGAATTTTCACACCCGTGCAGTTTGTGATTTATGATCTCTGAGATCATAAATCACAGACTGATAAAATGCACAAATATATTTTACTCTTTGCAGGCCGACCCTGCTGCTTGAAAACTATCAGCCATGGTTGGACCTGAAGGTTCATTCAAAGGTGGACGCTTCAATAGCAGAGGTAACTTCAGTGGGAGGAGGTTTCATCCTGAAATTAATTATTGATTAGTCAATTAATCCAATTTATTTTTTGCTCCTTTTCAGAAACGCACAACATAAACAAAGATGATCCCTAAACATTTGTTATGTGTAGTTATGAGACTATCTCACCAAGATAACATGACATAATGCAGTTTAAAAATTCACTTTTTTTATTGTTATAGATAATACTTTGAACAAAAGTACAGCTGCTTGCTGTGTTTAGTTGCAGAGCACCCTCTGGTGGACAAACTATGCAACATGCTTGATCCGCCTCTTTGTTTCTTTATTAATTATCGTTTATCGGGTGTTTTAAATACCGATTTATCTGCAAGTAGCTCATATGGGCCCATTAATATCTAACAAAATAACCATTAATTTATTATCCGTCTATTTTCTGACCGTTACTTACAGAATTCCTTTTTAATTTTGGTCTTCTGTTTCTGTAGAATAAAACTCTTCATGTATGCACATGCCATGTAAAAATGTACAGATTTAACTTCTGCTGTCCCTGATCTGTAGGTGTTCGAGTTAGTTCTGGAGAACTTTGTGTTCCCCTGGTACAGGTAACAAGTGTTTTATTGTCTCGAGAAAGATATTTTAAAAAGACACTTGTGAGGAAGTCGTTATGAACTCCCTCTTCTGGTTTTCAGGGACATCACAGATGACGAGGCGTGCGTGGACGAACTGAGGATGACCTTTCGCTTCTTCGCATCAGTGCTCATCCGCCGGGTTCAGAAGGTGACGCTTAAACATTCCTCAGACAGACAAAATAGAGCTGCTACAGGAAGAGATTCGTTTATAAGGCTGTAACTGACAATTTTCTTGAATAATCTGAATGAAGATTTGTTTATAAAATGTGAAAACATTCTCAAATTTGAGAAGCTGGAGCGAGCAACTTAATAAAACGATTCATTGATGGTCAGAATAGTTGCTGGTTAATTCTAATTTACTAATCTTCACAGCTAAACAAATTTTACCCCACAGTTTAGCTTGTTGTTGATCTAACCAGCAGCAGTAAAGCCACTACAGATGAAGAAGAAGCAGCAGCAGAGAGTTGACGCCAGTTTCATGATTTAGGCATGAAATGTTTTTTACTTTTTGTCTTTTTAATTGTTTCTTTTTGTGTCTTTCGCTGCTTCTCCCAGGTCGATGTTCCTGCCGTGTTTGCTGACAAAGTGATGAAAGCTGCGATGAAGCATATTGAAATTATTGCAAAAGCTCGAGATAAAGGTGTCAGATAACAAAAGTTTATTTATTTACTCTGTTATTTATATCCCTCATTTGTCCATTCACTTATATTCATTTATTAGGTTGTTTTACATTTAACTTTTAAAATGATTAATTTCACCTCACAAAACTAAACACAAAGTGCTCCAACCTTGCATGCAGCCTGTTTCTCCTGCTCGTTGTCTTATCTTCTAAATTTCAAAATGCATTTGAATTTCTGTTTATAAGTAATTTAAGCTACACTCTCTAAAAATGCGAGTAGGCAGTTGGTCTAAAGAACAAGCGTGTGGAGCCATTGTCATACTGTTTGTTTTGTTTTGTTTGATTTACACTGGGCTAAGCTACGTTCACAGACTTTGTTTTTGACTGTTCACATTGTTTTTTTTTTAAATGGGGCCCATATCAGACTCCAGTGTGAACCGACCCGCATGTGCAGAATAATAGTACGATGTCACACGCTGTCGTACGGCGGTCAACATGGAGGCCACAGAGGTTGCCAGTCCTCCTAAATTTCATTGCTCTTTCTCGGTTTTCTTCCCAGTGTCACAGTTCCCCCCAGATTTCCTGTGTTTGTCCCGATTTATGACAAATGTTCTCAACCTTTGGCCTTTCCAGCACATATATTAGAGTTTCTGGCAAAATGGTGAAACCGGGTTTATGATCTAGACTCTGTGTTCTGTTGTTATTGCATGTGTCTGTCTGCAGTGAAGAACGTGGAGGCTTTACAACAGGCAGCTCTGGATGAATACGGCACCGACCTCCACGTCGCTCTGCACAGCCGAAAAGACGAACTGCTCTACCTGAGGAAGCTGACCGAGATGCTGTTTCCCTACGTCATGCCTCCCAAAGCAACAGACTGCAGGTAGGCTGACACAAACCAGCTGACAGAGGCTAAATGGGTCACATCTAGGAAGTGTAAACTACAGCCGCTCCATACACGGAAGTAAGCTAACTGTCCTAAAGCCCTGAGGGGCTGTTAAATCCCCACATTGACTGTATGATCAAAGTAAATGATCGTGTATTAAACGTTGTTAAAAGTGGTGGTTGTGTGTTTGTCTGTGTTCAGGTCTCTGGCTCTGCTGCTGCGGGAGGTGATGGCTGGATCGGTCATATTACCCACCATGGATTTCATGGCTGACCCTGTGAGTCCAGCAGGATCAATGTTTGTCTGTCGGAGTGATACGACGTGACAATAACTGGTTAAAAAAAGTTCATTTTCCATTCTGTGTTTTGCAAACTGGCGTTGAAGGTTAATCAGGACTTTTAAGGTAACACGCCGTCTCTCTTTCTGCGTTTTCAGGACACTGTGAACCTCCTGGTGCTGCTCTTTGTTGATAATAGTCCAGTAAGTGCAAAGAACATTTCAGGGAGTACTGCTCCGTTACGTTACATCTGAATCTGTGACAAGTTCATGTACTGTAGATCCACTTAAATATCATAAAGCACTGATATTAATTCAGTTAAATTAATTGAAACTTTATTGCATTCAGGTTTCTCAACTAATTATTTTGCTTCTTCTGTATCTCCAGCCTGAACCAGCCACAGAGCCTCCGTCTACCCTGGTTCCATTTTTACAGAGATATGCAGACATCAGCAACAAGAAGTCGTCTGTGAGAGAGAGAGACCTTATTCACTACAAACTCAATGATTTCTGTTACAAGAAACATTTAAATAGATAAATATTACCAACCTTGTACTGCAGGTTTTGACCTTTTTGTCCCGCTACAGTGTGTTCAGTATCTTATGTATCGTCTTGCATGCGTTTATCTTTCGGCCTTATTTATATCGCGTATTTTTTAAACGTTTCCGATAGATAGATAGATAGATAACCTGAAGTCTCCCTCTCGTTGCGCAGGTGCTGAAGTTGGAGCTGAAGGAGATCAGGGAAGAGCAGGATCTCCTTTTTCGTTTCATGAACTTCCTGAAACAGGAAGGAGCCGTGAACGTGCTGCAGTTCTGCCTCACCGTTGGTACGAACAGTCATCATAATATGTAAACCGCCCTGCAAACTTAATCCTCTGATAAAGCTCAGTGGCTTAGCTAGCCCTAAAACTAGCTATGCAAGCCTATCGCAATCTCAGTAAGCTAGTTAGCCCCCCAAGATCAACATGAACGATCACCCATCCAGTCTTTTTCTTACCCGCTTGTCCTGTAGAGGTTCTTTACATGCAGACACGTCATGTTTACCCTTGTTTTACAGAGGACGACTCAGGAATGATTCCACTTTAGTTATTAGAAAGAAGAAGAGTCTTTCTTTTGCGTGGGGGAGCTTCGGTGAATAATAACAATTTGACCCTGTAACCATGATCTCCCTTTCAGTCTGACTGTTTAAAACCTCTTGTTGGTTCCCCCAGAGGAATTCAACGATAAGATCCTGAGTCCGGAGCTGAGCGACTCTGAGCTGCAGCGTCTGCACGGCGAGGTGCTGGACATGTACGAGACCTACTGCCTGGACGAAAGCATCGACAAGATCAGCTTCGACAAGTTCATCGTGGAGGAGATAAGGAACAGTAAGAGGCTATAATGATTAGGGGCGGGACGAGATCACGCGGTATTAAATACGATACCGATACGATATCGAGGTTAAAAGCTGTCTCACGATATCAGCATCTGTACGAGATCCGTTCCACGCAGTCGGTCACAGGGCTCTGTTAAAATAAATGGGTTTCGTATTTCTTATGTGAGGCTGAATATTACGAGCAGTTTAGTAGGGCTATTGAAATAAATATTAATATGAACGCAGGCTATTAATTTTAGGTTAGTAGCTATTTTAAAGTCTATCACAGAGACTGGTCACGTTCCGCCGCACCTTTTGCAGTGTGGGTGCAGGTAAAGAGGTGAGTTTCAGTTGCCTACATGTTGAGATTCAACCACTGTTTGAGCACATTTTATGGTATGAATTGATTTTTCGTTTCATTGCTTTATGGAGTTAATTTAGAACAATGTTTGGAACACTTTTGAGTGTGTTAAATAAATTAATCTAATTTTTTTTATTCAGTGCTCGAGTCTTTTAATGTGGAAACGCCGACACACAGACGAGCTGACAGAATAAGGCTGATATTTTCATGCAGCTCATAAGAACACATCAAATCAATGCATTGTTGTAGACTACGCCTGTTCATAACGAAAACATATCCTGGGTATGTTGAACTTGCTTCGTGGCGCAGGCCCCTGGTGGAAACATTAAATGACGTCAGAGTGACAGAAAAGACGCAAACAAATGTGTAAAGCAACATTTCAGAATAGTTAGGTTAACTTTATTGGCCCTTATAGTGCAGTGTTGCTACATAATAAAATGTCACAAAAACAACATCACATATCACAAAACACATCAACAAGAACCTGAGAAGCACTGACATGCTGTACTTCACAAAAAGAAAACAAACACAGAAGAAAATAACGTTGTTGACAACATAGTTTCATGGATTAGTGCTAGTGTGGTTATTGCATGTTGCCCTATTGCACCAAGATTACAAGGAAAGGGCTCACATATTTATTTCACACAGTTCTGTTTCACATTATTCAGCAGCTTGCATTGTTTGCATTTTCTGATTTTTCTGTCGGATAAAAGACTATTTTCCACTCATAGATTTCATCATTGAAGATTTCTTACAAATAGTTTAAAAGTCTCGTTCTCGTGAGCTAAGTGTGTCGTCACATCCCTAATAATGATATAACTACTACTTTTGGTTTTTCATCGTTCACCAGAATCTCTTTAAAGGTGCTCTCCACTAATTTTAAAATCAGTTTGTTGAAGTTTATGGGTCTTATTTGTCATAATTCATTGAATTTTTTTGTGAATTATTTTCCTCACTGTTTAGTGTAAGAGTTGAGCAATAATTGCAAATGATAAAAGAAGAGATGTTCATGAACACCTTGCTGCAGTGATGTACGGGTAAAACAGACATGAAACTTCCTGTTTGTCTCCCGTGTAAACGTTTTACCTCTCTGAACAGAAACACAGAGTGAAAGCAGTCTAACCACACGCTGTCCTCCCTCTCAGTCGCTAAAGGTCCGTACGCCGACGTGGTGAAGCTGCAGACGATGCCCTGCATGTTTGAGGCGTACGAACACGTCCTGTCTCTGCTGGAGAAAGTCTTCACCCCGATGTTCTGTCACAGCGACGAAGTGAGACACCAAAAACTCAGTCACCCACACACATCATGCAGGTTTTGAAATATAAAATACACACCTGCTTTTATGAA